CCCCCCTGCTGTGGAGCTATGGAGCGCTGCCCCTCCCCTCCCGGACTCTCAGGACTCAGCCCGAGCCAGAGCCACGAGCTGCCAGAGATCAAAGGTGGCAGTGACAGTCTCTGGAATGAGGGGAGAGTAAGAGCCTTTCTGAAAGTGAAAGTCTGGGGTCAGGGTGGAGGGTGGGGCCGGGGGTGGGGCTGGTGGGCCCAGGGCAGTGTGGAACAGGCTGGGAAGTCCCAGCTGCCGGTCATTCGCTCTGGCTGACCCAGGGGCCCCACCACAGAGGCCCAGCTCCGAGGGCCCGGCTTCCCCTGGCGGCCCCGACCTGCCTGGGGCCCGATCTACTCGCTCAGCAGGTACGTTCGGGTGCAGGTGGGCACTGGGGCGCTATGGACAGTGGGCGGGAATTCAAAGGGCCCAGGGTAATTCCAGTTCTGCCAGTGGCTTTCCGGGCCAAGGGCCTCAGCGCGGAGCCCAGGCCGGACTGCCAGCTCCAATCACAGCGTTCGTACACAAACATGCAGAAAGCAGACAGATGCGGACATCAAGACACGCACGCGGGCACAGACACACGGACGCGGACTCATGGAGAGAGCGGCTTGCACACATACAGGGAAACACACTCAGGTCAACGCACAAAGCCCATACGCACCCCAGTGCGGCAACATACCCCCAGGCTACACTCTCACATTAGATTGCTTATCTTTTTCCCCTGGGTACCGGCCCTGGCCTGGTGGGCTCCTGGTCAAGCGGCAGATGCCCCAGACCGTGCAACTGTCCCTCAGTCAGGGGAGAAGGTACACCCAGTGCTGGGGCCAAGCCCGGAGAGAGAGGAGCTGACGATGGTCAGGAAAGGCTGCTTGGTACTGAGGCTCGAAGGCGGCTTGAGAAGGTGGGGGTGAGGTCACTGCTGGCAGAAGGAACAGCCTGTACAAAGGTATGGAGGAGAGGCGAGGCGGTTGGGGGGGTGGTGAGCGAGGGGGAAGGAGCTGAGGGGTGGGTTAGGAAGGGCCTCGAGTGCCCAGCTAAGGAGGAGTCTGCTTTTCCTGATGGCACCCCAGGAGGGCTATGCTTTGTCACTACTGAGAAGAGGAAACTTTTTAGTGCCTTTTTCTAGTAGGCTTTCGTAATACACAGGAAAGCCCTTGTAAGCAGGTCTCATATCGCCTATGAATAATGACAAATTTCCCAGGTCCTTCCCAATATTCAAACCTCATTTATTCTCTTGCCTTATTGCCTTGACTAATCCTTCCTGGCAAATGTCAAATAGAATGACTGAACAGACACCAGGCCTGAGCCCCAGGTGCGGCCGCCAGTGCCTCTGAACATTCAGGGCAATGGGGCCAGAGGGCCAGAGAGAGAAAGAGCCAGAGAGAGTCATCACGGGAATGGGGAGGCAGGTACGGACGGGGCAGGGGCCGAGGTAGAGTCAGCAGGACATCCAGTCCCGCAGGTACCCGTGTGGCGAGGGGCGACCCTGATCCTGACGGTCACTCCTCCTTCAGATGGGGATGATGGGGAGGAGCAGATGGGCAGAGGCTCCCAGCCCAGTAAGGAAGTGTCCCCATCCCCACAGGGACAGTGGTGCAGCCTGGCCCAAGGACACCTTGGAGGTGGGGGCACCCATGCCCCTGGGCCCCGAAATACAGGTCAGTTTTGGGGGAGCAGAGACAGGGAGGCTGGGAGCAGAAGCAGCCTGCGAGGAAGCTGGAAAGCTGGACATTCTAGGGACAGGGAGGTGCCCGGGAGGCTGGGTGAGCGTAGGTCAAGGAGGCGAGGCTGGAGAAAGTTCTGTCCCAGACTGGAAGGCTTCCAGTGCGGGGCTATGGGGAGCCATGGAAGGATTTAAAGCAAGGGGGTGACCTGGTTGGCTTGTGCTGTGGGAAAGTCAGTAAGAGCCTTTCTGAAAGTGGAAGTCTGGGAAATGGCTTGGGAAACTGTGGGAGCAGGGTCAAGGGGGCAGCGAGACTGTCCGGGGGCCTCGGTGGGCCTTCAGTACGGGTCTAGTTCTGGACGAGGGTGGTCGAGCGGGCTGGGGGGACCCGTCTGCTTGTGTGGCCTCAATAAGACCCAACTGCCAGCTGCTCCTCCTTCCCCCAGAATCTGCCTCTAGACCCCAGTCCTGGCATCTGAGAGCTGCCCCCACCGCGGGCCCTCGGCCGGGAGAAATGGTTCCTGGGGCAGGACCTGGCTTCCCGGGGCTGGAAGATGTGGGAGCCCAGCCTCTGCTCCCCTTTCCACACAGGCCTGGGTTGGCTGAGGCTCCCCGTGGGGGGCTGTGTGACTAGAGGCAAGGCCCTGCCCCTTTCTGAGCCTGTTTTCTCATCTATGAAATGGAATGACACCCTACAACTTTGTTGTTACGGGCATCTGATGTATGCCAGGCCGTGGGCTGGGCACACAGTAGGTGCTTACTAAGTGTGAGCTCTACTCAACCAAGGCAGGGCCCACTTGTCCCGTCCCCACGTCCCCCTGGTGATAGAGCTTGAACTGCATCTGGGCACAGCACAGGCCCAGATGATTCTCATCATCACTCAGAGCCTGCTGGATGCTGAGGGGCACCAGGGAGAGGGGAGTCGGGGAGGGGCAGGGTGCAAAGAGCTCTTGCGACAATGTTCTGTGTGTGCATGGGTCAGTCTGAGTCAGGGCAGGAGAGGTACCAGGCGAGGACAAAGACCTGTGGCCTGGGCAGGGCAGATAAGGCCTCATCAATCATCTGGGCCTGCCCCTCTCTCGGTGAGGCCTCTGTCCAGCTGTCACATGGCATCTGGGAAGAGGAAGGTAGGCCTCAGCCGACCCCTCAAATGGCTGACCCCTGGACAGACATCGCTGGAGGGCACAGAGGGGTGGATGAGGGTCTGGGCCCTGCCTATCCCAATAGGCAGGCAAAATGGGGGCCTGGGGAGAGGGATTCCACCTGATGTCACCTAAGGGTCAGGTGCCGGCTCCAGCCTGACCTTTGTCCCAGGGATGGGGGCAGCCTGGAGAGGTCTCGGGGTTCTGGCCTCTGGTTGGTCAGTGACTTCAGTAGGTCCAGCCCTCCTCTTGGCTGCTCTCTCCAAGGCTTAAGTAAGATCTTGCTGATCTAACACAGCACCCCCCCCCACCCCCACACAACACCCTCACGATGGGGTGGGTGGGAGGTCCCGGCAGGCTATGAAATCTCTTTCCTCTCTCCCACCCCAGCTTAACCTAAAGCCAGAAAATCAAACACCACTGGGCTGTGCTTAAAAGGAGAGTGGGTGCAGCCTGGGGAGGGCCTGGAGCCCAGGGTGGGACCTAGGCAGCCCCTGCTTTGCACCTCCATGCCCTAGGGACCCCCGCCCCACCCCTTACAGGGGAGTGGCCGGAGCGCACGAGGGGTGGGTGGTGGGGAGATGAACCGGTGAGGAACAGCCTCGGGGAGCCCCAGCCCCTGGTTAAATATAGACCCGGGGCCCCTCCCACCACCCCCGCCCACAGGGCTGCAAGGCTGGGATAAGCAGATAAGCCCCTGGGGGCAGCCACGGGTGGCCACAGACCTCAAGCCTGACCCTGCCTCCCTCCAGGTCTAAACAGAAGGAGCCTCTTCCAGGGAGGGATCCCTGAGCCTCCCTCTGAGCAGAAATAGTTGGACCCGATGGGCTGAATGGGGGTGAGCTGAGGGCTTGGTGAGGGTTGGGGGGGGGGGGGCAGTGAATGCTAGGTGATGGGGAGATTGGGCAGTTAGGCCTCAGGACCTAAAGTCCAGGAAATCCTGGATGTGGTTGCTGGGCCCAGCCCTGGGGACCGCGGGCTGCCGTCTCGGCTGTGCCCCCAGAATCTGCCTGTTTAACCCCCCTCTCCAACTCTGATGATGGCCTGGCAGAGCCAGAGAGGGTGGGCACCTGGGGGTACCCTTCGGAAGATGGTATCAGGGAAGTTTTCCCGAAGGAAGTACCTGTCTGTCTACATCTCAGTGCCAGCTGCGGTGTGGCACGGAGAGAGCTCCGGCCCTGAGAGCTGCCCGGTGACAGCTTGGGGGTCATCTCTGGGAGGAGCTTCTCTGACCAAGCCAAGCCACTGGGCCCCTCCAGGTCTCACAGGGCTCTCACGAGGTTTCTGTGCCCATTCCCCAGGGCTGCCCCCCCCCC